ACAGTTCAGAGGAACTGGAAGCAATGACTGAGGAGGCGGGTGCGCGCTTCCATCGCGCTTCTCAAGAGAGCCTGAAATGCTGCCCTCCACAAAGCCAGCGCAGTCCTTGTCTTCAAAAGAACATTCCACACTAATCGTATAGGCGGAGTCACTAGGACCATGGCTCTTTCCTCATTAATGCCCCCTTTGCCTCAGTGCAACGTAGCCTCACCAATGAAGGGGTGCCTAAGTGAGTCCGCCCGAACGATAACCATGGAATCATTGTAAGTGAGAGGGAGCTTGAAGCATACAGTAAGAGAGGAATCATTAGAGAGTTAGTTGCTTACTTCGTCAAGCCTCCATCTTTCAGTGCCCTGTAGTCTTGTTTGGTCCACGTGGAAAACTTCTCTAGAATGTAAGCAGCCAGTCCAATCGGAGAGTCGTTCAGCGCAGTTCCTGCAAAGGATCAGGGTAGTAAAGACAATGATCCTCAAACAAAACGCCACATACTGTACTGTTGATGATTAGGGACCTATTCTGTTCTTATATCAACTTTATGCCTCTCCACAGCACGAACCGATTTCCTTTAGTTCCTTCATCCTTCTATCTGCAGATGGTATGGCTCTAACCTCCTAGCAAGTGCCGGTGCTGTTCATGGCTTTGTCCTTCCGGGTGAGCTTATTTCCTTTTCACCGAACTGGAAGGCATGGTAAGCTCCCTAGTCCCCTTTACGAAATGCTCCCAGATTCCTCCCCCGATCTATGCTCGTAAAAAGCAGCGCGACTTGCCACTGCACCATCTCCATCCAGCACATTACTATTTAGTAGTTCAAAACAATATATTATGGAAAAAATGTGAAAGTCACAAACCTACTGTATCCGGTTTAGTCGCCTGAAGGTGCATATATCCGGACTCAGCAATTATCCCCATCACTCTGGTAAAGAAGTTATGATTGTGGTGCGATGGAGAGGTGAACACCCACTGAAAACAGTCCGTCGTTAGACTTTTCAAACAATGCCTTCCGGTCTCCCACACGGAGTTACAAATACCTTCGGGAAGAACGATCCAATGATGTCAAGTACTGCCACTTTCAATGTAGAATCAGGCATTGCTGCCAGCATGTTCAGATGAAGACCGAATACTCTGTAAGGGAGCGAAATGGTCTTTTTCTGCAAAGCCCTTGTTAGAGAAGCCGCAAAGATGAAGATACCCACTGAGCTGGATAGAGCTTAGCCAAATTGCTAGCGATCAGCGATCCCCAATCGCCGCCTTGAAGGTAGAATCTCTTGATGCCAAGTCGTTCCATCAGCTTTCGAAAAACCCGAGCGCATGCCACCTGACTGAACCCTGGAATCTACAGCTCTCTAGAATCAGAATAAAGTGTATTGAAAGTGAAGTACCTGATCGTTTCGGTTGGTCAGACCATCCATACCCAGGGATTGACGGTGCGACAACTTCAAAAGCAATCTGGAAGAGAACATGCAATCGTCTGGAGAAAATCAGAGGACAAAGTGGCAATGGAAGTATTAGGCTGTCTGGAAAGTTCTGCACGTTTTTTGTTATATTTTTTGAACATTTCATTGTGATTGAAAACGGTCAGTTCTCCTCCTCGCGCGTTAGCAGTATTTATTTTTCTGAGTTTTTTTTTTTACTCTTAGAATCTGCGCTATCTGATGGTATAACTGCCGTTTCACCATTGCTTGATGAACCCCTTTTTTAAGATTTTTTTTCAAGCGCAGGTGAAAAGAGCACTTCGGACGATTTTTTTCTTCGACTATAAATTGGGGCAATCCGCAATCGAAACAGCTCAACAAATTAACCAGGTGTGGGGGCCCAATAGTGCTAGAGAAAGCACTGTGCGGCAATGGCTCAACATTTCGTTCTGGAGATTTCAGCCTTGAAGATGAACCTTCAATAAGCGGCGTCGATTAAAGGCAATATGTCTGACGCGCGCATCTTAGCGCGGCGATTTTGGAGGCTTGACCCATTGCCAAACAGTTGCGATAAATATGCCAGAAAAGCTAGGCGTTGGCAAATTTCAGCTGTTATGCGGATTTGTCTTGGAAGCATTGAAAGGTAGAAAAAACTCGACAATAGGGGTGCCCCACCAATCGGAGTGACCGCGCGCAGCGAAACGCACGGCTCGAGTTCTTTCTGGCATTGCTTTTGCGCAGCAGAAACGACCTGTTTTTGAACCGAATTGTCACCTGTGATGAAAAATGGATCATGTATGATAACAGGAGACGTTCCGGACAGTGGTTGGATTTCGCGACAACCACCGAGGTAATTTTCAAAGCCGAACCCTCACGAAAAAAAGATTCTGGTCACGGTTTGGTGGTCATCGGCTGATGTGATCCACTATAATTTTTTACCAAGGTTAAACCATCAAGTTAGAGTCGCTACTGTGAAGAAATCGACGAAATGTACCAAAAATTTTGTCAGATGCAGCCAACACTTATCAAAAGAGAGGGTCCGATTCCTTTGCATGACAACCCCCCACACGGTTTCACAAATCACTATCCATAAATTGAACGAATTGGGGGTTGAAGTTCTACCTCAAACGCCATATTCTTCAGACCTTTCACCAAATCGACTATCACTTTTCAAACATTTTTCAGAACTCCCTTGCTGGAAAATACTTCATCAATCAGGACCAGGCAAAAAAGCCTTCGTGGATTTCGTGAACTCTCGACCACCCAGTTTTTTACTTGTTGATGGATTTCGCCGACTGCTGTCACACTCGAGGTTCCGTCTGGCAAACGTGTGCTGATTCGAATGGTGCTTATTTGGATTAAATCCGATGAGTGTTAAGAAAGTTATGATCGTTTAAAGTGAAACACTCGAAACGTGCAGAACTTTCCGGACAACCTAATAGTTGTCACGCAATCGAAATAACTCACAGTCGCGAGATTCGGATCCCATGCCTTGTTTATGATTTTGTGCACATACGGGATGATCTTGTTGAACTCGAACACACTTTCAAGGCATCGGGGGACAATCAGAGAGGCGAACACTTTTTTGTAGCCCTTCGCTGTTCGCTGCGGTTCATGGATGAAGTGAACCTGTGATTTGAGCGCTGAGCGTCAGCAATTAATAAAGAAATAACTGATAAGAATGAGAACAAATAGTTCATCCAAAAGTTAATAAGGCGCGCCAGGGTGTGTAACTTTAGCTAAGTCAGTAATTAGGCTGGCACATCTCGCACCTAGTGTGCCTTGCCAGTGGGGAGCCCTTTCATAAGTGACTGACCCCTTGTTATAATGCTCATCTCAAAGCATAACGAGGGACTGAATCAATATTCATTAATGTCATTTTATTAGGCTAATATTAGGTTGCGGGAACAGTTCTGTCATACTTTTTTGAACCGCAAGTATTACGCCTATTTACCGTGAGATGGGCTAACCGGTAATTGGTGAGGCTTCAATACACTTAAGGATGGATCTCTATTCGTGTCACGCTGGTTGCCATCTTATATCTGCATTATGATCAAGAATGCGGACAGAATTACGTCCCACGCTGCATCGGCGCCTTCAAGCTCTCTCATATGACAATGTCACTACCTTCACCGCCCTTTCGCTATCCCAAACTGCTCACCCTGGCGCCAGCATGGCAGCTGTCGACGCCGAATAATGGAGCTGCACAAGGACAATGTCTACAGTCATCAGACAATCTTCCACGACGCTAGCTCTTCAGAGCGGGAGCCTACGGTTCGAATGACGAAGTGAGGTTCGGGAGTACCTGTAAACTCAGCTCTACTTCGTATAGAAGCGGGGGTTGGAAACTGCCGGGATGAAGTAGCTCCTGCCTGGTTAATCCGTCACGCAAGGGAGCTACGAGATCTGAGGCGAATCGTCAAGCAGAGGGCAAAATCCATCGGCACAGTCCGTCTTCAACGTGCTGGTGCAGCACACCCCGTCAAAAAAGTTCGAGCCGTACTTCATGCAATAGAGCTGGATGGCTCTCCCCTTGCACCGGTGTAGTCCAGACATTGCTCTTTCTGACTGCTAGTCGCCTCCCGTATTCAACCGTTATACAGCCGAGAAAACCTCCACGACTTGAGCCCAAGTCAAAGTTGAGATGATGTCCAACTTTGCGTCGCGCCGGCGTGCATTGTTAAGCGATGGCATCCACGAACTGTCCAAAAACTGGCAAGGATCTCTCAATAACATTGCTGTATAATTTTGATCTTGTACGCCTCTCTGTAAAAAGAAAGTCTAATTTGAAAAAATGTGACAGAACTTCCCGCATCAGGTTAATATTAATAATAACATCGCTGTACACCTTGATCTACTGCAGCAGCAGGAGAAGCTGAGGCATCTAAGGTACCTGAAAGATGCGTTGTGTGTCTGCAAAGAGGGGAGGAGTGCAACAAATGTAGTAGGCGCAGGTTCTTTCGCAGAAGGCATCTGTGGTAAAGCTGAAGACGTATAGAGTGAAGGAGTGGCCGCGTGCCTTGTGCTGTAGTAAGTGTCTGTAAAAGATCCATATACACTGTATGATGGAGAAGGAATGGGCAGGTGTAGTCGGGGTGTCGATCGTAGAGGCCGTGTACATGAAGGTTCATGGAGTGTAACGCGTTTGGCCGTGGAGCCGGTAACGTGGTATGGGAGAGTTGAATGATACGGTATAAGTACATGAGACGGGTGTCCACCTAGGTCCCGCAGTAGAAGCGTATGGCTGAGGAGAACCGAGTAGAGAAAGTCGCCGTATCAGCTTGAAATCATGCTGAGACCCAAACACGGAAAGGTGCTCGTTCAATGCAATTCTTCAGCCTAAACACTTGTTGACACGATTGACCTTCGAGAGGGTCTGATACAAGGGAATCAAAAGCAAGGTGTCTAATGATGTGCGAAAGGTGATCTGCTGTTAACTAGTTTGCCTTTAGCTCAGTTCGTAAGTACTTCTGTCATCCATATAGCGTAGAAGGTAAGTTCTTCACATTTTCCAGACCCATTTTCCATTCAAGCGTGTGTTTCTGAACCTTTAAGTGACTTTAATTCTCCTAACTCTTGAATTTCCCCTTTCTTCTATTTATCAATAATATTCACTGAGCTGGAAATGCTGGTGAGAGGCACCAGCCAGCGCAGCCAATTAGGCAAGGTCGCCCACACAGGCGATCTCACCGGTGTCCCCACAGGCGAGGTGCGAGAAGGTGCTAAGGGTGAGGTCAACTTAAGCTAAATTGACATTCCCCTTTGGCGCTTCATGCGTCGCAGCTCGGGCCGGTACATATCGACGCGATTCGGTCACTTCTGCTGCTCGCCACTCCCCATTCTAGCACTTGCCAAGCTCGCGATTGCAGATCAATCACAGTAGCGATAGAAGCCTAGTTCGCCTTTTGGCAGTGGTTCCAATGATTTGATCCAACCAACAGGTTTTTCAAAGAAAGTAATAGGCAATTGTTCCAGAACAACCTACCTTCAAGCCTTCAATCTCAGTTTTAAACTGTTTGAATTGATTGATGATCTTTTCGTGCTTCTTCCAGTCGTAGCTCTTCAACCAGTACTGTCTAAACACCTCCAACTCGTCCGAATTGAACCCATACCAGAAGTCATTTGAGTCTTCCAGATGAGCGTGAGAAATACGACTGCGCTCTAGTCGTTGTTTGAGATCCTGAGAAGAGGCAAATTGAAGATTACAAAAATATTTCTTCCATGATTCTGGCCAACAACCAACGTCGTACGGAGAAAGGCGTGCGAACAACCCACAGATTTTTTTCACCAGGAATTCAATTTGGACTCTATATGTCAGAAAAACTTGAATTCTCTTGTTTTACTTACTCGAATACTTGAATCAAAAACCAGTGGGAAGAGCCACCAATGATATGGCCAGTAGCTTTCAGATGCTGGGGCATGTCAAGGGGCTAGGTATTTCGAGGCGCCACCCTTTTGTCACTGAGGTGGAGCCACGAACCTCATACTGGAAACTCATGCTCGTGACTAGCCCCAGTGTCCGCAGTGGAAGCGACTATATCTCCCTTCTTCGCGTGCCCCTCCCTTGTTCGCTCAGTGTCAGCGCACCACTAGGAAAGAACCAACGGTCCCCTATTCCCGCCCCTTTTGCAGCGAACAGATTTAATGTGGACTGAAGTTTTCAATGTAATTTCGCTTAATTGCAGTATATTTGAAAGAATCCAGGTGTAGGAATTGGAAAAAGTGGGAACCTTTCTAGGCTTTTACTCCCATCCCAGATGCTCATTTTCCTTTACTATCCTTTGATTCCTGATACATACATGGGAAATTAGGATCCTGGATGAGGTTAACACTCAATATGAGGGATGATCGCCAACCTGGAGTGCATCTGGTGTGACATTCACTTCGAAAGGATGCACGGCAAGATCATCCGGACGCAGTTCGCCACTTCCAAACCAACCGTTCTCTTCCACTCTGACCTAAATTACATCAAATTTTTCTGAGACTTAGTTTGTGAAGAGTTCTATGTGGCAGGGCTATGCCATGGTCCGTTAGTGTTCCTTTAACTACACAGCTGATTATCAGGATCCACAAAAAATGTAATTGTAGGTGTCTCGTCTTCCGGCGATTCGCCCAGATTTCAAAATTTTAAAAAATCTCTTCCATGTGGAACAGATCCACCAGCATCATTTGAGCATCAGCGCCGTCTGTAATGTGTTTTCACTGTTTCACCCAAGCTTTAATGAATTTACAAAATATTCCTTCAGCAGCTCTTTCAGGAGACGGCGTAGTTCTGCGATGGGGGGGGTGGGGGGCAAGTCGCCCTGTCGCTGCTTCTCATTGTCGTGTCGAGACATCAAGTGAATATAACATGTAGGATCTTGTGAAGCAATAAACACGACAGTGGAAAGCAGCGATACTCTAAAATGCCCTCCCCCAAGCAAGTCGAACTGCGCCCAGGAGACGTGCCCGATGACATAACTAGGAGGGACGGTCTTTAGATGCTTCTGCCTTTGAACATATGCTAAATGTAAATTACAATTACTGGTAGAAAACCAATACAACAGCAGTGCGAATATTCGTGACTAAATAAAATTAATATGTGAGTGAGTGCTCAGTTTTACCTCTTCAACAGGTGTCAAGTAAGCAACGTAGGCGAGATATGCCCCAGAAGCAAGCGCTATCGCCAGAAACAAGTGCACTAAACAATCCCATCTGAGTCTACCTGAAATGGAGCATTTCATTTCATAGTCTTCAGCACTCATCAAGTCTCTCCTAGAGTGCGAGATATGAAATACGTTCGGAAAGACAGAATTTCTCGTAAAAATCCTCGAACGTT